ATTAATTCTTTTGCAATAATTATTGAAAAAGAGCAAGCCAACTACTTGATGACTATGAAGTATAAGAGTTGACTTTTACAAGTACAACAGTGTTTCAAATGTTGTACCCCAGGAAGTAATTCATAATGCTTACTAAAACTAGTGTTGCTTCAACAGCACACACTTTCGTGCATTTTGTGTCATAATTTTCAAAAATTCAGAAAGTACAACTAAAATAAAACCTGCGCCATTTAAAGCGCCTTTTGCGTTCTCTCAGAAACACAATAAAGACAACACACAATAAAGTGTTGAATCTTCGTGCTAAGTACCCACAAAAATCAAAATATCCATTTGAAATACGCAGAGTTTCGAGTTCGCCCAGATCGATCAGGGAATGTCACATTTGGAGAAAATCGTCGGAACAGTGTAGGTGCTAATGTTGACCACAAACTGACACATACCGTAAACTAATTTTTCGTTGCCAAGGACCCATAAAACGGATATTCGGACTTCACAACGCGTTAGAGGAAATAATTTATTACATATAAGAAAGATAATGATCGATTTTTTCTGTTCCAGGGTCCAGGATCCGACATAACGAGTTTTTTCTGTGCAAATCTTGCCGTTTTTTTGCGGCTGCATTACAATACTTTCTCAATACTAGGTTAGTAGTATTCAAAGAATTAAAATAAATACGGCAATAAAATATTATGGATAGGCTAATGTGTTCAAAGGTTGAATATTTTCAAATGCATCTACACGTTCTATGTCATTTTTATCAGGGATTTAACAAAATTTTTATGTTAATTGTTTTATTAATTGTCCGAGGCCTTCTTCATAATTTATACTGATGGTGTTGCCGCCTTGCCCCCTCACACCTGTGCTGTCGTCAATGGTCGAGAGCAATCAACCCATAAAATGTAAAAATTAAGCCAATAGCTCTCTTTACACTGCTGAGCACGGTTCATTTGATTTTCACACTGCATTCATGCAATGTTGTGGTGATCTTTGAAAGAAGAAAAGCGAAACACATATTATTGTTCTTACGTTCATAAATTGCAGGAAATTACCAAAGAGAGAAATTACTGATGAAACTGTGAATTTGGATGTAAAAGTACACACGTGTCACATTTTTGGCGTGACCCCTTTCAGGTCATAATTTTATATGTCCAACTTTTCCACGCCATTTTTCACCCATATTGATTTCTATGGTTTTGATGGTTTCAGAATAACTCTCTTTATTCGCGCTTGAAGGGGCACACAGGAGTATAGAAGACACGACATACGATGCCCAAATCTCATGTGTATGAGATCGCAGGCCAAGTCTTGTACAGGAATTTCCTGTCAGCGTACATCACTCTCCTGTCATTTGTGCACGGGAATTCATAATCTATCACTGAATAGAACGCCGATTAAACGATTCAGCGCACGGTTTTATTAGTTTACTTTTCTTTCCATAATCATCCCAATCCATTTCCGTAATCAATCATCATTAACAGCTCTGCGCTCACTATCTTCATCAATCTTCCATAGTGTGCTAAATAAATACTTATCTAAGTCAGGCCCACTGCTCTAACACCATAAACCGAAAACTAAGGCTCACAATATTATTTTGTACCTCAGGCAAATTCAATACACGATGTATTACGGGATATATCTAATTCGAAGGAATTAAGAAATGTTCTTACGAATGTTAGTACGGTAACGAGTTATTGAGATGATAAATGCCTTCAAACAGATGAATAGAAATACATACAGAGGGGGAAGAATGTTCTCCTGCACGGAGCCATTCAAGCTAATATACATAAGTACATATTGTACATAAGAAGGAGAAGGTTCAAACAGTTGTTAATTTTGCCGAGAGAATTCCCTAATGCAAAGGAGACACCTCCGGCTGATCGTGTTTCAACAGCAGGAAGAAGTAAGAAGTGACTGAGGAGAAGAGAGAGGCGAAAGGAAAGTGGGGAGCAGGAAGAGGAGAGTTAGGGAATGAAAGAGAAGGCAGAAGAGAGTCGGGAGATGGAGGAAAAGAGTGTGGAATAGCGGAATGCGAATGGGAGAAAAGCGAAGGGGTGAGGCGAATGGAAAAATGGAAAAGGAGAGTAAGAAGAGAGGAAAAGAGAATGGGGAGATGGAAGAGGAGAGTGAGGAGTGACGAAAGGGGAGAAGGAAGAGGAGAGTGAGGAGAGACGAAAAGGGAGAAGGAAGAGGAGAGTGAAAAGATGGAAGAGGAGTGTGACGAGATGGAAGAGGAGGGAGGGGAGATGGAAGAGGTGAGAGTGAGGAGAGGAGGACGAGGCGAGGGGAGAGACGAATGAGAAGATGGAAGAGGAGAGTAGGGTGATGGAAGAGGAGAATGAATAAAAGTGAGGGGAGGGTGGAGAGAAGGAAGAAGAACGTGAATAAATGGAATAAGAGAGTGAGGAGATGGAAGAGAAGAGCGGGAAGGGACAGAGAAAGGAGAGGAGAATGAAGAGATGGAAGAGGAGAGTTAAGAGTGGGGGAGGTGAATGGCGAGACGGAAGAGGAGAGTGAACAGAAGGGAGAGGAGAGTGGGGAGAAGAAAAAGGACCGTGAGAAGATGGAATAGGAGGATGGGGAGATGGATGAGGAGAGTGGGGAGATAGAAGAGGGGCATGAGGGAGGCAAATGGGGAGATGTAAGAGAGATGATATATAAGAGGAGAGTGAGGATGTGGAAGAGAAGAGTGGGAAGAGGTGAATTGGGAGATGGAAGAGGAGAGGGGGAGATGTAAGAGGAAAATGGGGAGAGGGGAAAGTAGAATGGGGAGATGTAAGAGGAGAGTGAGAAGAGGGGAGAGGAGAGTGGGGAAGTGCTAAAAATTGAGAAGGGGATGGTGTGCTGACGGGTGGTCGACACGTGAACAGTCGTTCTGAAGATTTTCGTTCTTCTCGTTTTCGTGAAATGGTGTGTGCAAATGATCCAAAAACTAGGGATCGTGAGATAATGTGATAGAACAATTAATAAGAACTGAATTTCACAGTATTGGGTTTTCTGAAAAGATTAAAATAAAATATTATTCCCTACCATGAATTAAGTTATACTGTAAAATGCCAAGACTGGAAGCAGGAAAGAGAGGTAGAAGTACATACACGTCTGTACTTTTAACCTCTAATGACAATGAGAACAGAAACTTTACGTTATTTAACGAAAAAAAAGATACCCGAACCTAACAGTTCGGGTATCTGTTGGTTCCAACAAGTTGAAACCTCTACTCCCGACCTGTGAACACATTACATCAACGAGAAGAAGTAATATTATTTTGTTGAATATAGAAAACAATGCTGATTGGAAAACATTAACATTGGTTAAAGCACAAGGTTTTCTTTTTTTATACCATTTGAATTCTATTTCCTTTCTCTTTTAAACATCTCTTCTCTAGTAATATACTTAAGAGAACATGTTGTTCCCTTAAGTATATTACAAGAGAAATCTATGGATATTGACTATATCCAGTCTAAAATGCTACGAATTTTGGAATGTTTAGAAGAACTCAGAAGATAATTTCAAAGAATTTGGCAAAATATTTCTTCTGAGGTGATAAATGAACATGCACAAAATAAAAATAATCTGAGAACAAAGAGAAGTTGCGTTCAGAAAAATATTCTACGAAATTTTAAACAATGTACTTAATCAGATATGAAGTAGATTATCCAATTTTGAAAATTTCATTTTCATCACTCTTCTTCATTCCTTAAAATGTTTGAACTAAAAAACGTGTTTCCCTTAACATACTTTTTCAAACTAATAATATCCTACAATTCAATCTTTGATTCAATACTCCTGATAAATGAATTTAGCGTTGTTTGCTTGTCTGAAGTTCAAGATTTTCACGGGAATCGGCCGTTCAGATTGTGAAAATGAACGAGAGACTTGACATGGGCCATACCTGAAGTACACGAATTAGCGTGTCTAGTTTTAACTGCTCTATCAAGCAAAGCTTAAGTTCAACAATCAAAGAAAAATTTCACTTCTGATTCACTATTTATCAAGAAAGACTATTTTCACTATCAATGATGTCGATCGAAATGCAATTACTTTTAAACTTCGTAAACATGCCCATAATTTGGAAATTTTTTCAGAAGAAATTTTAAGGAATAAAGCAGACATTCCAGTAAATTTAGTAAAGATAATAAATTGGGTAATAATAAAATATGGCGAATGTAGCTTAAAATACAGTTCAGGATTTCTCCTATTTTTTTATTCGGCATTATAAACGACATTTTGCTTGAAATATTTGATAAAATGGTATTTTAAGGCACAGATTATGACATACTAGCCCTTTATGACACAAATATTTGCTTCATTTCACGTAAAGCGAATCACAGCAAGGGAATCGTGAGACGACGAATTTTGCTTATGAAATTTGTTTCCTATCTTTTTTCTTTGATAATTTTATAATGCTGTTGTAAAAAAAATGTATTCGCAAATCTTTTATAATGTTTTATTGCTCGGGAATAAGTTTGAAAACTCCCTTGTACAGTCGCTGGTTCTCAAATCATAAACTAATGCCTTATGGTGCGCTCTTCAAAAACGTGTTTGCATTTCGATTTCATTTTAACGTTATGCCAAAGACCGTGGATAGGAGCGTTTCTAGCGCACCACGCGCGGCGGACACTCTTTGCAGGCTGTGAGTCAGTTTGAGCGTGCGGGAGTTGCTTTCTCGTAAAGAAGAAACCGACTGGGCGCACCAGTCATCAAGCCGCCTGTCCACGGACACCCTATGCTGCCTCTTTCACGCGAGAGGAACAGAAAGAGAGCAATTACTTACACCATGACGTAAACCTATTAAAGTATCCCCTTGATTATACTTAAATACACTACCCAACAAATTGCCATCTGTAAGGCCGCAAGCGCTGAGAAAGAAAGTGATTTAACAGCTGTTGTCAGAAAAGTGTCCACTTGGTTAACGCTAACGCGAAATCTTTTTTTTTTTTTTTTTTTTTTTTTTTTTTTTTTTTTTTTTTTTTTTTTTTTTTTTTTTTTTTGTATCCCGGTACCTCTGGGAGTGACTGAAATGTGAGAATCGGCGCCGCGATTACAGGAGCGCGTTTGATGAGGGATGTTGTGTGCAAAAGGTTTCGCCGCCTGGTTCCTCACCAGACCGACATGATGTTGTAGGGCGTCCAGCACATGAAGAAGACCAGCACGATGACCAGCGTCATCTTGAGCGAGCGCGTCTTGGCCCGCCCGAGGAAGCCCAGGCTGGAGCGCCGGAACACGTCTGCGCAAGCACGGCACCAACGCTTTCAGCAAGTACTCTCAATTTCGCCCAATTAATAAATTATGGATACAATTATACATTCATGTAAACAAAAATATTATTCAATTTCGGGATCTGCACATCGAAAGGGTTTTTCTCATCAATATTCGTATTAATGATGAAAAATCTACATTTTTATGTCAAAATAAGGTCGATGAACTTTCATAACATAGCAACTTCATGAATGAATCTTCATAACATGTTAAACTATGACTGAAAATACTACATATATTTCCAAAATGTATTCTGAATACTCAGTTTCGCGTGAATAATCTGTTTTTTTTACTCACAGACAAAGACGCTGTAATAACGTAAATTAAAACAAACACTTGTGATAAATTTCAACATATTTCAAACAAATTGAAATAAATAATATCAATGGTTTTGAAGTTTCTGAAAAAAATTGAAACCTATAAAAATTAAACAAGCAGACATCAATAGACCTCTGAGCATCTAGGCGGTGCCAGGATTGATTTGGGCGCCTTCATTCAATGTTAGGAATGAGGAGTCATGAAAAATTCAAGAAAAAAGTAATACATTGAACACTATTTTCAAAGAAAAATTATAAAAATATAAAGTATTTTTACATTATGGAGCATCGTTATATTATGAACATCACATGTTAATCATTTACATAAAAAACAGCATAACATTTTTTCTCGAATTTTGTCTAAATCTGTACAAATGTGCTCTTTTTTTGTTGTTGTTTTTTGTTTTTGTTGAAAATACAATTCCAGTGGTTGCAGCGTTTAAAATGGCAGATACTTAAAAAGTAACTTAGAAGAATTGTTGGCGATCAGTAATTAATTAGTTTCTGAGATTCGCCTATCTTCCCCGCACCCCACAGCTTTCTGAATATGGCAGCAATTTAAAAGTGTTAACTCATAAAATAGCTTTTTTGAGGTAGGTCCGGGAAAACATGCAGTAAAAGTGTAATTAACCCCAATGTTAGGATTGACTGATTTATTAGTGATACCGGGCGCGTTAACCGTTAAAATCATTAATCCAGTATGTATAGTGTATGTTTCTTCTTCGAATGGTGGTGGTGGCGGTGATCTTCATAATCTTCTGAATGGCTAGATTCAGCGCCGAATTACCCGTCGGCTATCGAGGGATCACCACCAGGGATCTTCCACCAGCGCGGCGGCCCCAGCCGGGACAAGCTCTAAGCTCCCGACTGGTCTCCTGGCATGAGTGGTAGTGTAGTGCATGTTAGTGTGCGTGTAAAGGGTGACGACAGGACAAGGAAGAGGAAGGAAAGAACGCGCACGGGCCTTAGCCCGTTTATTAGGGTACTGCTCCGACATTTGCCTGATATTGATCGTAGAAATCACGGAAAAGTAGCAATCAGAGTAGCTGGCCTATAGAATTCTCCGCCAGACAGCGACTGAATTCGACCTATCTATGTAGGTAGGTAATGTCGAAAAATCTTGCCACCAGCGTCGGGACTCGAACCCTAGGATCTTCTGATCAGAAACACAGCTGTGACATCAATTAAAGTCCTGAGCCACCTAAGCCGTTCCATTTTAACACAATTACTACATGATTTATGAACGTATGAATGTCCATTATTTTAAACGTTTTGTAGTTATTTTCTGTATCCCCCTAAAGCTACAAAATAGGCATTTGCCTCAGAATCCGAGGAAAAGAGTGTGAGTGGGCGGGCGGGAAAGAGCACTTGGGTGGGAGGGTGGAAGCGAGTGGAAGAGGACGGTTGGAGAGGGGTGGACGTGAGAGCAGTTGGGAGCGTGGGAGCGTGTGGGCGAGGGCGTCGCTCACCGTCTCCCGTGCGTCGCGAGCGCCGGAAGATCTCAGCCACGATGGAGCCGTAGGCGAAGATGATGATGAGGAGCGGGATGCCGTACATGAAGGAGGAGCTGAAGATGGCGTAGAGCACCTCCGCGCGGTGCGACTTGAGCACGCCCCACGTGATGCACTGCTCGTACCACGTGACGGTCGGGTGGCTCTGCACGCTGAACACCATGGCCTGCCAACAAGCAACTGGGCTCAAAATGCGGAAAGCGGAGAAGATAATTAACAAAGAGAGTAATGTAACAGGTGCGAAAGTGAAATGAAAACGAACTGAGGTAAGGAAAGGGAGAATGTTTACAAAGGATCGTTCTGCGAAATACGAACAGAAATTTGAATTAAGAAGAGTACAGTGAAGTAAAGACATTAAAATAGCCAGTTCTGGAATATCATTTTATCATAAAGATCTCGAATGTGTATGTATGAATTCACTACGTCATTCATACGTACATTACGGGTTTCTGTGCATGCAGAAACACACGAATACTTAAAAATAAGCAGGTGGGGTCAAATAATAGATCGCTGCTTTCGAGAAATATTCCCGTACCCGATATCTAACAAGAACTTCATTCGAAGTTTAGAAAAAATTTTAAAATTAGAACACAAATTAAGGGCATAGTTTGAAATATATGGTGTTTGGTTCCAATATAAATTAGTAATTGTTATTAAAACACCGTATAAAAGTGTACTCATTAAAGAGGAACAACAAAACAAATGTTAATGTTTAATTTATAATTGTATAATAATCTACATAAATATGCAGTGGAATGATAGACGGAAGATCAGGCATTTTTGAAAGAACCAACCACACTTTTTCGGCATCTTCAAAAGAAGCATTCCGTTTAAATCTCGACATCGATTTTTTGCAGTATATGTATACTCGTACGGGCCCGGGAAAGTAAGCCCAGACATTACACTGGTCTGCATGATTCAGTGGTTTTCTTTATAATACTTCTTCTTTATAAAGTACATCATTACGATTTTTAAAGTAAAAACCTTTTTTTGTGTATCACCAGTTTTTCACAATTACTACTTTTATGATCAATGTATTGGACATATCTAGTTTGTTATTTCTGTTGAAAGTAAATAAATATCATGAAATTTGTTGTTGAAATTGTTACATTTGGCAACACTGTAGCATGCATCAATACTTTTCTTACATTTACGACAATTCATGTTGAGTATACTATCAGTTTTCAGTTAGTGAGAAGTTACATTTCTGAGTGGATGCTGTATTAGCTCAATGTGTTTTTTTTTTTTGAAGTAATATGTCTTCCAGAAAATGTAAAAATAATCCTGATATATTTTGGCACATTTGTGGGAGTTGTGTGGCAAGAAAAAGGAGACGAAATATCATAAAATGTTTAAAAGATGCATACCATGCCTATGAAACTAGGAGATCGGGTCAAAAAATGGGCTCACAAAAAAGGGTGTCATACTTGTATTGAACAATTAAGGAAATGGAGTCAAGGGAAGAAAATTAGCACGCCTTTTGGTGTATTTGGCATGATTTGGATTTGGCATGAGCCTCGAAATCGTGTAGATGATTTTTTTGTGCATGTGACACTGCAGGCTACAATTCAAAAATCCTGAAAAATAACGTTTATCCAAACATCTTGCCAACAAAAAGGTCCTCGCTCATCGACCAGATGTTCCTGTACCTTCTCCATCAGAAACTCTTGGAAACATCTACAAACTCTGAAGACAATTGCAGTGATTGAAATGCACTTCAAGAGCACGCCAAGCAGTCTCAACAGTTCAGACAAAATGACTTTTTACTTGATAAGGGACTTTGGTATTTCTAATGCTGCTGCTCAAATCCTGGGATCAACACTAAAAGAAAAGAAGCTCTTATCTCCAGGAACATCATTTGCATGTTATAGATACCGCGGTGTCACGGTGCACCGTGAAGAACTAGTCCCGTACTTCTGTCAAGAAGAGAATTTTACATACTGCCATGATATTCCTGGTTTAGTGAATGCTTTGGGAGCTGAAAAATACATTACAAGAGATTGGCGGCTTTTTATAAACTTCTCAAAAGTATGAAAGCTGTTCTCTTATATAACGGGAACAATTATTCGTCAGTTCCTTTTGCCCACTTTTTACACAAGGAAATCTAACACAAGTGAAAAAAACGAATTAGAAAATATTATTAATGTTCATATAAATGATATTACATTTTGACAGTGCTCAATCATTGTTTCTATTAATATATTTTTGTGAATTTTTAGTATTTCAAAAAATTAATGTATTTGAGTCGAAAGTAAAGCTATACTTTTATTATTTCTTGTATTGTATAAAACTGACACATGATGTAGCAAAAGGGATTTCAAATTTATATTCAAAATTATCAAGTTCAAGTTATTCACCTATAAAAATAGAAACCCTAGCCTAGAAGTTAAAATTTGCAGACCAGTGCTATTTATGGACTTTTGAAATGAAAGGATTGTGTTGAACTGCTTCAAGTAAGGATGTATGAAAACCGGATGATCGGTTTAAAAGATTTTGTAGGTCACACATTGATTTTTAATGAATAAGATAATATAGCCTCTCGACATTAGCCTTGTAATATATTTTATATCGAAGTTCAATTTCGTGGCGATAGATGCGTGCGTGATAGGAATGTGATAGTTGATGCTGATGTTTCATAACATGGATGATTTTATAAAATCAATAATTTGAAGCCGATGTATTTTGAACTTGTACATTGTGTATTCGATGTTTTTCCTTGTTTTTTTTTTTAAGTACCATATAATAAAATTCTATAATAATTTCCAGACATCCATAAATTGAATATTCCTAAGACCAAAGTGGCCGAGGGTGAAAGATAAATAAAATCGAATTTTCGTCATTAAAAAAACCTATAATATTTTTGAATTATCGAATAAGTCAATCAAAGTTTTTTTTAATTATCCTGACATTGTTTGACTGCGTTTTGTCAGATAAATCTCAATTAAAAATTAATAATTAAATTCCCCAACTCGAACTTCAATGGTTAGTTATCTAGAGTTAATTCATCGATTTATAATAACATCAATGATTTGGGGCGATGTTTTATTAACATCGATGTTTTGTTGTCCATGTCGCATCCCCAGTGCGCGGCAGGGCGGGGGACGAGCCCAGAGCTCGTTGCCTAAGCCGTTTGCGGTGTCCCCGTATCGCCATATCGCGCGGCCGCCGATTGGCTCCCCGCACGCGCCTCCCACCCCCCCCCCCCGCGTGAAGCGAACAGGCGCCGCGCCCGCTCGTCACGTTCATTTCGAATTCATTACGCGCGCAACTGTTTCATTCTCACGGCCCCCTACAACAGTGGATTACAATCAAAAAGTTTATTGGCATTGGAGAAAAATGGTTCCCAGAAAAAATAGTGTTGCCACTATGGGGAACTTTTCTTTTTTTCCAAAAACTTTTCCCTGATTCTTAACAGATATCAAGACAAATGCAAGCTCGATTGACTAATTTGGCGACACAATCATTTATTATAATTTATACCTAATGCAGTTTCACCTTATTTATTGCATTGAGAAAACACTCTCCTAGATGACATGAGTGCTTCAAATATCTATTAAGTGCGTAGTTACGCACTCGTTATATTGAAGATATTTGTCAAAGTATTTTACGACCTGCTATTTATGGAACACTTGGTAAAAGGTTCCAAATATAAACATAAATTAATCCTCTTTCGTGATATCGATTTTGAGGCTGTGCGTTCACAATACTATAACTGCTTAGCACCACTTTCGTAAGTAAACAGTGAAGTCGAAGTTCTCAACAAATCTTTTGTGGATCTTTCTGATAAACATACGCCACGAAAAAAAGTCGTAGAATACGTCCTGCTCCACCTTGGCTCTTCGACAAATTGAAACAATTTATGCGACATTATGACTGGTCCTGCAATCCCTTTGGATATAATAAAATTTTTGTGAGATAAACCTTATAAAAATCATCGAAATTCCATTAAACAAAAATGTTTTTTTGTGTATATTATATGCTTATGAAACAAATTAATATTCCATTAAACAAAAAATCGGCGATTTCATAATCACTTGAAATTTGACTAAATAAAAAAAATATCAGCTAGACTTTCAACAACTTTAGAACCAAAGTCATCTAGATTTCCATTCGACGCATTCATACGTTAGATTGCAGGATCGTTTATTAAGCAAATATATTTGAATCCATTCAATCAATACTGTCGAACTTGCACCAAGTCGTCTATGTTTAAGAATTAATTTTATTTCTAGAAAACGTGACCCTGAAATTAATAAAATTGTCACCTTCCAAACATCCAATGCAAAATATTTTGATAAAAAAGTCAAGTTTGCCTTTCCAGCTCTCAGAATCGTAATTAATACTCCCAATATATTACGAATATGCCAAATTGCAGTGTCTGTTATTATCTTGATAAGAAGTATCCTTCATATTTAGACAATCAATCAACAGTTATTCCATAAAAGAAATGCTTCAGTTATTACTTAAAAGGAAAGCACACATTTCAAACACACTTATTGTGTTTGTAGTAATGTGAGAAGTCTAACAAAACACACACAAATTTCTTTACAAATATATACATAAAATTACCAACATAAAAATTTGTTGTAACTGTTGTTTGATTTTGTAAATATAAAGGATACCTCATCAATTTCATTAATACTTATAGCGGATATTCAGCCTCAGGCTTGGTGCTTGCACATTAACTCCCCTAATAAAAATTTGCACAGTATTCTTCGACTTGAAATTATCGTCCAATCAACATGATGGCGAAACCTTCAAAAGTTCTTCAAAAAGTCTTACGAAAGTAAACAGAAAAGCGATTAATGGGTTCAAACTTTCTCAGCAACTTTTAATCGCGAGAAATAAAAGAGAAAGTAAATTTAGAAGCAAAAGTACACAGACTGCATAAGGGAAAGTACCTAGAGAAAAAGAAAAACTCTGATAATCACTTTTCTGTAACGGCTTTAAATTTTAGTTTGACAAATATTTGTAGATTTGTTTGTAAGTTTTGTTTTGTAAGTTGTTGTAAAGTTGTAGAGATGCAGCCCTGTTCGTTTATCACTAGAGACGTCACAAAACTAAAAATCTATCTCTTTTTAATCACGAATATCACTGCGTTGTTTTTGCAAGACAAGTGGACGTGTGACTTCAGATGCATGGTCTTTAGTAACAAGGCCATTCATCTAATATCGTCCTTGTAGTAATTATTTTCTATTAGCTTGAGAGATAATCATATGATTAGCGATCATATGATTGGCCTTATCTTTCAACCGCAACAAATTCCATTTTCGAAGGCAATGTTCACAGCCATACGCTGGAGAGGAGTAGATCACCTGGGGCATGCTGCACAGGAAGGACATGACCCAGGCAGCCGTCAGCATGATGCGGCCCCGCCGATCGACTTGTGACAGACTCATGGGTCGCAAAATGGCGAAGTACCTGCAGGACACACGTATCTTATTTAAACGCTACATCTCAATCACAGAATTTGTATCTCATAATATTATGTATAAGTGAGTTGCTATGTTATACATTTTTATTTAAGGTGAAAACTATATTATTTAGGTAATAACTTCGGATAGTAATATTAGGAAAAGTTGCTTACCCTTCAAAATAATATAAAATGCTATGTTTCCATATTTACTTGCTTACATGCGTCCCAATTGTATTAGTATTGAATGACCAAGTGTAAACGAGCTCCGACAATCATCCAGACGATATAATTAATAAATCGGAACTTGTAAGGAGAGCTGATCCTATTTCGAACACCTTATAATACATCAAAAAGAAGACAGCAGGCTGACTTTTGATTATTTTCCTTCTTAACAGCGTATAGATGACTTCCGAGGAAACAACGTAACTAAACGAATAAATTTTAGCATCCCTATTAACAAACATAGACCTTGTGCCCAGTTTCTATGATCACACATAGAGATTTTAAAAACCAAGTTTCTGGGAAAAAAATCGAATGAAACTTGAACCGGCCGCGATAGCACTCCGGCAACATTGTTACCTCTGCAACATCGTTGACCCGTACGTCTCAGGTTTCGAATCACAACTGTGACAGATTTTCCACTCTTGCTGTATGGAATTCAGCCGCTATCTGGTGGAGAATTCTAGCGGGCCGCTAGTTTTCGTGGTTTTCTCCTGTCCCAGCCAGGCGAATGCCGGAGCACTATCCTAACAAACGGGCCACGGGCGCACTATCTTTAATTCCCCATTTTCGCCTCCATGTCTCCTCTTTCACACACACACACACACACACACACTTGTACTTGTAAGCACTACACTTCCACACACGGGAGATTGGAGCTTGTCCCGGCAAGAGCGGATCGAAACTTAAGTAGATTTTCGGAGGTGGGAAGCCCAGCAGCCGACGAGTAGACCGGCGCAGGAGGAAGGGAAGCAGTGGCCGCCTCCGAGGCTGAGCGCTCACCTGTCCATGCTGATGCAGACGAGGACGAAGCTGGAGAGGAAGAGTCCGAAGACGCGGCACACGGCCATGACGCGGCAGAGCAGGTCCCCCGCGCGCCACGACACCGTCGCCGCCCACGCGATCTCCAGCGGCATCATGAGGAACGTCACCTGCGCACGCACGCGCGCCCCGCGCTCGCAGTCTATTCTCACAAGCATCGCTTAGCTCCTCATTCAATAACGCTTGACAGAAGGCTCGTTTAGAACGTTATATGTACTGTTTTCATTAACAACACAAAAAAGGTGGATTTGGGGGGCATAGTCCCCATGCTGACAGGGCCCTCTTCCTAGGTCCAGTACTGGTTTTTCCTATCTGTTTTATTCTAATTGTAACTATGATAAATAGCTAGAGCTTTTTTGTGGTCGTTCGTAGCCATCTGGGGCCAACACGTCATCACGGAACAATGAGGCGGCAGCGAAGACGAATGAAATCGCAATCCTTCAGGTAAGTAGTAGCCGCAAGACTCTCAAGTGTCCATCCATCTTGCAGCGCAGGCCATCGATGCATTTGCCTTTTCCGGATACCACTGTGCCTGGCGTACGGTGTTCACTCGATCACCAAATATCCGTCATTTCTATCCGCCCTTCCTCCCCGCCAGCGTTTCGCGCTCTGTATCATTTTAAATGACATCATAGAAAGTTTATAATAAAATTTAAATTTTAATTTACTTCAGACAATAATGATACTTTATGAATTGTATTCTGCGGTAGAATACGCTATTCAATGGAAGTTAGTAAGTAGAAACAATCATATAGCGTTCGCCAAAAACCTGTATTAGCTTCAGAGTACTGTTATTTTCAACAAAAAACTTTGAAATTATAAGCAGTAATTGATTTTAGAGAAAGTAGGTAGGTCAACAAAATGTCGATGAGGTAATTACTATTACTGTATAACATGGAAATTTAAGCTTTAAAAACCCTCGCTATTCCAGAGATGTGAATTAAACTGACTCTTTTAAAAGCATAGTTTCGCGTGGTTCCGCTATTGTGTTTTCGTGCATATTTCATTCGGTTCGAAATTTTCCATATACGCAACTAACTAAAATGCTGAAATAAAATCAATTTGTATTTTATTCTGTAATTCGTACTTTTCTAAAACATAAGAGTGTGCTTAAAGGAATTAGAGTCTAAAAGGGATAAACGCAAAAATAAAGTAAATCTATGAAGAATGACGTTCATTGCCAAGTTGAGTTACAAACTGAAAGTAGTACTCATATATTTAGATATATTCACGATTTAAAGAAGAATCGTGGCACATATTGTGCATTAGAATTTTCAAGTTCTAAGGTAAGTGCAAATTATGACTTCTTTGAAAATTGTCTCTTCCTACGATAGGATCAGTATTGTGATAGGTTATTCTGGTTTATGTGGGGACCATCACAAAGAATTAAAAGAAATACGTAAAAAAGAACAAAAGAAGTCGAGAAGGACGCGAGGAATAACATATATAAAAGCGGGCGCGAGTAGAAAGTGGCCGGGAGATAACCAGGGGAATATAAAGTGTATGTTTTATATTGGTACACTTGAGAAATTTCCGAGCTTAAATATACAAAAAATAAATATAAAAGGCAAATCTAAAAGAATACCCAATATAATAAGTGTACGAAGTGACTGCAGATGGGAAGAAGCGTGAGTGCTCGCCAATTGAAGATAATGCGCAGTAGTTAGTCAAGAGGCACGTAATTAAGGATCTGTTGGTCAAAGGAAGACAGTTGAAAGGCGGGCATTATGACTTGCGTAGGAGAACGTGCTAAACGATGGTAGTGTTCGGACGTCGATCAGGCAGCGCAGTTCATTTACGGAATAATCCGTGGTCGTGGTGGTTGGAGTAAAGAGAAGAGTATCACAAGGTGAAATCAAGTACACGAACCATTAATATGTTAAATGAATGGATTTTTAGAGAACGGCGGTGATTTTTTTTAGAAAATCGGATTTGAATTAAAAATTGGAACGCGTCGAAACAACAAGACGGTGTGGAGTTAATGAATGCGCGAAGGAGCTTACCACGTATTTTGTCAGCGCAGAAAATGCAGAGGGCAAGTATAAGACAGAATCGGGGGCAGCATGGGCATGAGAAAGCAATAGATATCGGGTGAATGATGAATTGTGTGAATATGTTGTAAACATTTCAAGAAAGTCATGATTTTTATTGCATTGTGATATTTGTGACTATTTATAGCGACAACAGTGGAGCTGCAAGATTGGCTAAGGAGAATTAATTAAAGCAAAATTATAATGTTTAGGAGAGGAACATTCAATGATTCATTGAAGTACTTCAAATATAGATTGAAAACATCCTACGTAATTTTTCATAACTTGGAATCTCATATGGGTAAGTCTATCGACTCACATATATATAAATTTTTCTTAGTGCGAAGATTGATTCCAATTTGAAACGTAATGGGAATAAGAATAAATTGTGAATAATAGCAATGAATATTGAGTTGAGCCGAAGTAGGCGAAAATAAACAGTTGGAAATAACTTAGTATAATTAGGCGTAATACAGGAATCGTGGTTCGCAACATGCGACGTAAAAATTTCTGCTTCTTCAACTAAGAATGCAATTTCCGTATATAATAAAGAGATGATATCAGACATCTATAAATTTAAAAGAGTAGGTGATAATGGTGAATGCTGAGGAATTTCAGACTAAATATTCCGATCGTAAGAAAGAGTTGTTGATTTTTACTATTAATTTACGATTGAGTGAAATGCATTTGATGATTTTCCTAAATAAATAGGAAAACCACAAGTTCTCATTTTAAAAAGTAAAACATCATAAAAGCATCTGGCATCGTTTGTATCATGCATTATTCTTAATCAAATGTAATTTCAATGTCTAAAAATATAGTTATATAGTTGGAGTACGTCGCTTTATTTGGAAATTTGTGTCTATATAATCTGTTACGCGTAATAATTGGTATGAGGGGAATAATTTGTCTAAAAGCAAGTTGGCTATTGGTTACCATATTATTTTTTTGTGAATTTGATCATTCTAATTAAAATTACTTTTCCAAATATTTGAGAAATCAGAAAGTAAATTAATTGGTCTAAAATTTGCAGGTTTCGTGCTCTGCACTTGGTTTTGGAATTGCTAATATGAAAACTGTTTTCCAGTTTGTTAAAAAATAATTTATTATAACACAAATTTTTTTTCGTTTCGGTATTATTTCATCTCAAATTTGAGAATGTAGCTGTTATGAAGCGAGTGAAAGCATTTGGCGTCTTTAGTGTCAGTCGCTGTTCTTTTGCACTAGTGAACCACAATAAGCTTGCGGGTAAACATTTGAATGAATGCGAGACTTTTAAGTATCTTTCGATTTTTTGTTCAATTCCAATTATGGAATATTCACCTCAGTATTACGAAGTTAACGTCAGTGATTCCTATATCGCATTGAAAACGAATACTGCAAACGTTTTTGAAGAAATACAGAAATCATTACAATTCGTTACATTAAATTCATCACATTAAATATGTAACTTGAAAGGGCATTTATACGAAATTTAAGTCAATTACGATAAGAAAACAAATTATTTTACCCCGAATCTCATCTTCCTGCTGTGACTATTAAGTTCCAACAACCTCCAAATGTCGATTTTGTTGCAACTGTTTGTAGAGATGCACTCATCTGTGGTATGTAAAAGAGTGTGTGAACTCTAATACGATGCTTTTGATACACTCGCATTGCTTCACTGCGGATTTCACATTTCATGGATCATAGGCCACATGCTGATAGCCCTGCAGTCTTAACATCACTCAGATAATCTTGCATCACACTTTACTAAAACTTGTACAGTTCTACAAAAAACATCGCCTCCTCATTGACACTACTAAGTGATTCATCTAATGAAATGCTCAAACATCAACTGTCTTAAAAGTGCTCTCATGACGATTCTCGAAAAGCGATCCCGCGGGAGAAAAATCCCGAAATATTAAAGCATGGCTATGTTAGTTTCAGAGCAGAATGGCACAAATACCACGTATACTATCTCAGCGTGATCTTTAATCTTTATCTTCAGTCTTTTCAAAAAGTCAGATTGAAATTCAGATGAGAAAAATGGCTAAACTGTGTATTGTAAACAATTCCCACCTTGCGAACACGTTAGTTCTCTCAGAACAATTTGGATGTAGTGGCGCTGCAACAGTGCTCCATTACTCAACAGTACAGCCATTACTCAATCATCAATATGATGAATCGAGTCGTAACGTTTCATGTAAATTCCCGAAAGAATTTAGAAATTCAAAGCATTTCACCAATGTAACTGCATCAAAACCCGTATTTTTTAGACTGCTATCAGAATATCCTAGAAGTACCCGGCTAAGAATTGTGCCAAACGATTTGTCTTATCAAGACAAATGTCGAAACAAAAACTAGTTTTTAAAGTGAATTCTCTCAGAATCGTCTGGATGAAGCCGCAAAAAATTGCATTGGTAGACTGGAAGCGATCTAAGACCGAGTGACGTACGAACGGTCACAAGTTCCTTGATTATTATTATTATTATTATTATTATTATTATTATTATTATTATTATTATTATTATTATTATTTTGCTTGCGAATCGGCCGACTAGGACCACGCATGCATGCATCTTACTTTTACCGTGGCTCAGTATCATTATCGCGGTGGCAGGTGCTTGTAACTTTTTTTAATTGGGATCCTGCATTTACCTGAGTCCGATTTTTATTCCACCGGGGTTGGTAGCCCTGAGGGTATGGATGATGAAATGATGATAATGAGGGGTGGAAGGACGACACACTCATACATACACAAATACACCCATGCCCACGGCGGGACTCGAAACCGCGATCTTCTGGTCCGAAAACACTACGGCACTACTGCCTAAGTGATCTCGTCCATCTGATCGGCTATTATTATTTTTATTATTATTATTATTAATTATTATTATTATTATTATTATTATTATTATTATTATTATTAAATCGCGCAATGAAAGACTCTCCGCAGTAGCACCTTGTAGGTGAGACAGCGTACAACAGAAATTATGCTAGCGCGAGCTGCAGCTTGAAAACGTAAATTGATTACTCACCACAATCACAACGGATGTTGGAAGTATTATGCTCTTCACTTGTTTCCCAGTTATTTGGACGCTACCAACTTAAAGGCAAATTTTTAATAGTAGGCCTTGTTTCGGCTCGGTGCGGATAGACTTTCCTCGCGCACTGTATTCATAATATTAATATTACTAATTTCCTATGTGAGCAGGAATTTAAACAAACCCCTTGCGACTCCCGCTCATTTGATGGGTGTCTATGGTTTCATTAGATAACAAGAACGCGATAAATCAAAAAACAATGTAATCTTTCGATTTTGATTGAAAAAAAACAACAACAAATATTTGATACTATACGAGCAAGTTTTCTTGATATTTCATAGCGGAGGGTGCGGGGAGAGGAGCGATTTGGCTATGTCACGGGTGAAAAGGTCGTACTAACTGTGAGCATGAACTTAATTCCCCAAAGCGTGCCCCGACAAATGCTGACTGTTTTAAAAGTACGTGGGGGTTGTTGCCAGCATTGTAAACTGGTACGTGCCGTTCCGAGTCACACCTAAGTATCTCAACGTTCCGTGCTATTTAGTGAGGATTAGGGAGCTCGTGTATCAAGAAAACCTGCGCGAGTAGTAGTTATTCTCGTACTGCGCTCTCAGACTGAGTAAGTCAATGCTCACGGCAGCACGTCTCCGAGGGAGCGGCCTTACACATTTGTTATGTTCGTTAAGGCCCAGCCTTAAACATTTTGAATTGAATTGAATTTGCCTTCTGCAACATTTCTTTGTTCGTGTCGTGTCACGGCGAAGAAAGACGCGCTGCGTGTCACGTACCAGCAGGTCCGCGATGGCGAGGTGCATGAGCATGTGGTTGACGCGCGAGCGCGCGCGCCCGCGCTGCCGCAGGATGATGGTGAGCACGGTGAGGTTGCCGGCCGCCGACGCCACCATGAGCGCGCTGTAGCACGCGATGGAGACGACGTGGCCCGAGTTGAAGGTCATGTCGCGCGGCAGCTGCAGGTCGCCGTCGCTGGCGTTGGAGGGCAGCACCCACATGGGCGGCGCCGCCGACGCCTCCATCGCCGACGCCTCCTCCCCCTCCTCCTCCTCCTCCGCCACCCTGCAGGGACACAAACGACTTCGTTGCAGTCACTGGCAATCGAGTGGATTCAGTTCGAACCAGGTTTTGTAAAAAACAGGCATTGAATATTGCAATTTTTACTTTCTCGCCTACCACATCCTTACGTTGTGGCGAGAAATTATTATAACGATGTGCAATTTTTTTTTACAGAAAGACTCGTAGTTTGCAGCCCCGATATAGAAAAAGTGGAAACTTCTTGCTCCCGTGTGTAGTAACTAACTTCTTCAAGCATGTTCTGTAGTCATAACCCACGTGTTATGGGTCCTTGATCATGTACCAGCACTCGGTACTTAGATTCACACCGCGAGACATGCGGGCACCGGAAAAGACCTCTATCAACGCTATCCCCTTCCCCCACCCCCGCTGAACCTGCTTTCCCACTGCTTGACAACCTTCCAGGCAGAGAAGAGATTTCGAATTATTTATTGGGGGGGAAGGGTCCCCTCGCAAAAGATGGTGAAAAGTTCCCTTAAACCAAATGGCATGTGAGTAGTTACACTATAATTCTAACGCAAACATAATATTTTTGAAAGATTTCTTAGCCCCTGTGCCACAGCCCACACCCCTATACAGACAGAAACTTTCTTTTTTTCATTTTTTCGTCAACTTAACACTATTTTATCTGATTGGAAAAAATATTAAAATTATACTAAATTATTCCATTAAATATGATATTATGCATCAGAAAAACATTTTTTGATATTTTCTCAACACGAAATTCAAACGCAAAGTTTTTTTAAAATACCAAAAACTAATTGTTACTGTCTTAGAACCGCGGAACATGCATGGAATTAATCTCTAAAGTTTTTATTAAAACACAAAACGTTGTTGATTTTTTCATATTTTTTCGATTGCTGAGCTGTAGTTAAAAAATAAAAACAATTTTTACCATTTTAAATCACATACACTTTGAAAATGTGTGCAACAGTTTTGAAAATTTATTTGAGTGTTTATTATACACTTGTAATGAGAGTTGATATTGTTCAAAAAAACAACGAAACGTTTTTGATAATGATACCAACATCATTATTAAAACAGCACATTTGCTTTTAAAATAACAGAAAAGTGAAATTACTCTAATACCATTGAAAATAACAGAAAATATTCAGTAGAGATAACAGGTTCACTCTTTTGTCAGTGTACATTTGGCATCAAACAAATAGCATGCATTAGTTACAATATATTACAAGGACTGGAAATTAATTTATTTGTGGAAAATAATATATCGCCTCAGTGCTACAAATTCCAACAGTAGGTAGCTTGAAAAAAGGATCGGCCAAAGGTCATAAGCGAAGAAATCTCTCCTGAGATGAACGTAGCACACCGGGAATGGGGAGCTTACTGATGCCACTCAGCTTCAAGCTAGATGTTACGTGATATTCCGCGGGTCAAAGCACGTTGCATTCTACGTAGGCGACAGGAAGCGCGCGACTGTCAGCCTCCCGACACCTGCTGTGCCGCGCGGAAAAGCAGTAAGTTTCAATAGCCAATGCTCCGCTTCGGATTTTTTTACTGAAAGAAGCCTGCTTCGAAGGGCAGCGTTACGCAGCTCTTGACCTCTGTAGAAGGCACTCGACGCGCAGGTGCGGGAATGTTAGGTCACCGGTCAAAAATGAAACGTCCGCCTAAGAAAGAAATGTAAAGCTAAGTTGATTGGTGCGAAAAAGCCCCGCGTATTTTCTCGGGGGCCACATTTTGGACAATGAAGAATCAGAGGAGTATCACGGTACCTGAACCTTCCTTATTCCAATGGGAAAGCCTCCGTAAACTTATCCACGAGGACATTGAAAAAGTTACTCAAATAAGACGGTCCTATAGATAGATGCTTTCCTTCGATAATGCCACTTATAAAATTATTTTTTAGGCAGCCACTACTAAAAGCGACTCTTTCAGGGCATGTCTAGCGCGCTAAAAGTACAAGTTTTAGCACTGGTACTAAAAGTGAGATGATGCTCAAATGTTCTGATAAATCTGTGAATGCAACAAAGGAAACAAAATACTTTCGTCCGACCGGAAGAACCAAAACGGACAAAAGGAGTAAAAGGGACAAAAATACTGACTTAACGTTTCTCGGTGGTGAATTAAAACTCACACACACAGGTATTATTTCGTAAACAATTGTGCACTAAAACCACTTGATCTATTTGCAGATATATTACACAGTCCTTGTGTTCTTCACTTGATTATTTTCCTTTCACACGACTCCGTTCTCTTGATTATCTATTCCCACTGTTCACTGCAATCTGATTATTTATTTACACTGTTCATTGCTTCTACACTATCACACAGTCCGATGCATTGTCCACGGTCCACTGCGCTGTCCTCAATTCCCTGCGCAGACCACATTTTACTGCGCACACCAAGGTCCACTGCACTGCTGTTTACCGCGATGCAAACTTAACAGCTCAGCTTTCACTGCAGACACACTGACGGACTGACTGATTACATACACTAACTGACTCGCGGGTGCTTACTTCCGACTGACTACTTGCACTGACATACACTGATGAACTCACTGATTACCTCTCTCGCGGCCGCCGGCAGCGCCGCATTTATACCTGACCGGCGCGTCTCGACACACCCGGCACTTGCTCAACCTTTCCCCGCGATCCGCGCAGCAATCCGGGCAGATGATGCAATATTCGTTACAATACATAAGGGACAAAACGGATATACGAAGCAAGCGGGACAAAGGGATAAAAGGGGACAAACTGGACAAAAGGATCAAATGAGACAAAAGGACCAAAGGGGGGAACAGATAAAAAATGGACAAAAGGACAAAACGGCAGTAAGGCTTAAATAGTGTATGACACATGTGTTAACAGTGATTTTATTTTGCTCTTAGGATTGCGACACGAGGCCGATAAGCCACCTTTCCTACTCCCAAAATAAAATGTCACTTTTACCACTCGTATCATAAATAACTATTCTGAGCGAAGCAGCTGCAGGCTTAGAATATTTGTCTCGTGCGAAGTAGAGGAAGCTCTCCGTGAAGAGCAATTGCTTCCTCATATTGAGTTGCGGATCGGAGAAATAATGTCTCCAATTGGTACAGACTGGTAGTTTTCCATGGTTTCTCTGATCAACACATGGCGAATGCCAAAGCAGTTGCTAGCAAACGGGCCACGGATCGCGCGCTAAATCTTTCCTTTCTCTTCCTTATCCTATTCTCATCCCTTACACACATTTACTCTTACATGCAGGGCCTTACTACACTACCACATGCCGGGAGTAGCTTTGAGCTCCCGACCGGTGTCCCGGCAGTGCTCCGCTAATACCGCGAGGCAAGACGCCCGAATTTTACCGAATTCTCCCGAGGCGCGGATATGTGAACGAGCTCGCACGACGCGGGTGGCGTTGGAGCCCGTTGCCGCTCGATGACAACCGCCCCACCAGAGACAGCAGTCCACGGGCGTTGTTGTTGTTAGCCAAAGCCCACCCTTGGCATGTTAGTCATTTGGGACTGACCAGTATAGACGCAGTATAGACTTTCCCCTCGGCTTGTAGGGATCTGCACTCCCACAATGGTCAAGGTACAGGTAGGTGCCGAATCGTTGTTGCGCATTTAGCGTTACTCAGGGGATACGTGTGGTAGACACGGACGCGAACAACTTTGTCCCCGCTGTGAATTATTATTATTATTATTATTATTATTATTATTATTATTATTATTATTGGATTAAGAGGTGATAGGATATTGGTGAAAGGTGATCGTGGACGTTTTGAACCCTCCCAGCATTTGCCTTTTGACCGAGGGTAGCACGAAAACCCCGGCCCGGCCCGGGAATCGAACACGGACCTCCCGATTGCGAAGTCAGCACGCTACGAGCCACTTCGCTAGGTAGCCTGCGACCTGTTCGAACCACACTACCACGCGTCAGCCGTCTGCGAGGGGAGTCGACGAAGCCTCTTGATGAAATACACTTTCCTCACCCTCGCGTCCGGGTCCCAACCAGCCCGTCCTCCCCGCTGTGAAAGGTGGAATATCTTTTACTTTTAACTGATACGTCGCCTTCGATACGGAGTTAGATGTACATTTCATAAGTTACTTGGAACGAGACGATCGTGGTTACGAAGGAAATATGAAAACAGTTGAGTGGTGCCACATTTTCACTTATGGAGGGAATTATGAGAGGGAAACATAAAGAGAGAAACCGAGTCAACTAGTTCATTAGTAACAACAAGTAAATAAGTACATGTGAAACATTAAAAGTACGTAAAAATAAAATCATGTATCACTAGCGTTAAGTGATTCTAATGATCTCGGCCGACAGAAAACCCAGACCAAAGGCCCTAGGGCTTTTTGTCGTTGCTCGATCACTAGAACTCTGATAACGAACTAGGTGCTTAAATAAATATTCGAAAAGGGCTGCTCGAAAAGGTCCGTGTTGTTATTACGGCACGCTTTTTACGCTGCAGCAGATAGTAAATTATTTTTGACGTTGTTAATAATTTTGATAATCTGCCTAAAAACAAACTCTCATTCAAAGAAATCAACTGTATGTCATTTATTTTTCTCAGTCATAACCATCGCCATCATCATAGTTTTAATTAAATCTGTTATCTTGCAATTTTGCTTGTCTTTTATCACGCAACTTCACTTCCATGGGTTCTGGTGCGTAGAAATTTCTGTACATCAAAAGTAATCGAAGGAACAGCGATATACGAAGGTCTCACTCTATTTTTTAATTTTGTACATCAAAATTACTTTGAAAAACCAATGGATATTCACAAACTTTTTATGGATAATTTTCTCAAAAAGTTGTCCCCTCACAAAAAATATTAAAAGCTCTTCCGACGGAGCCTGAAGGTGCTCCTGTCTTGCTTCTCTTGCGCAAACACGGAGCGGAGTGTGTTCAATATCATGTGAAGGAGGAAAATGCGCACGCGACGATGAAGATAAGATCCCGACGAACCTTTTCTGCGCGCGTTTGAGCTGCAATTATCGGCGCTTAGGACGCCGCCTCCCTCGCTATCCGACTCAGCTGATATTCACTGCCATTTATAGCCTCATGGCCTTAGTAATGCAGTCGGACCTCCATTCATCGAAACTCCATAATACACCTAAATTCTCTATAAACCGAATTATTTCAGTTCCTTGAAAATTTCGTGTAAAAACGTTTCTTTATACTATCGAAAATGATTTCTGTACATCGAACTCCTTTTCTGAATTGACTACTTCTTTCCACGAAATAAAAATGTACAGTACTAAACTATAAATTATGTTCAAAAAATTCAGTAGGGTTTTTGATTGAAAAAAATGTTCCAGATGAAGTGTTCCAGTGGATTAACAATTGTGAACAATATTTTTTAACGGAGAGCATAATATGTGCAAAAAGGCACAATTTTTTAAAATATTTCAAT